GTTAATTCGGGCCGGGGAAGTCTTAAAGAGCCGGAAAAAGGTGGATAGAGGTGGTATGGAGGAGTGGAGGCCAGCTGTCATCGGTGGGCGGGGCTTGACCAAAGTGGGCGGAGTTTGCGACGAAAATTCATAACTCGGCTCCAAGAAGTCCCGGAGGCCGGGAAAAGGTGGATGGAGGTGGGTGGAGGAGTGGAGGCCAGCTGTCATCGGTGGGCGGGGCTTGACCAAAGTGGGCGGAGTTTGCGACGAAAATTCATAACTCGGCTCCAAGAAGTCCCGGAGGCGGGAAAAAGGTGGATAGAGGTGGGTGGAGGAGTGGAGCCAAATCATGGTGGGCGGGGCATGACCAAAGTGGGCGGAGTTGCCACGAAAATTCATAACTCGGTTCCAAGAAGTCCTGGAGAACGGGAAAAAAGTGGATAGAGGTCAGCAAAGAAAGAGAAGTTAACTGCTACGGTGGGTGGAGCGTGCGCTAAGTGGGCGGAGTTTGCGACGAAAATTCATAACTCGGCTCCAAGAAGTCCTAGAGATAGGGAAAACGGGGTTAGAGGTTGGCGAGGGAAAAGAGATCAGCTGCTTCCAAGAGGTCCCAGAGACCGGTGAAAAAAGGGGTAGAGGTCGGCGAAAGGAAGGGGGCCAAATGCTATTGGTGGGCGGAGCACGCACCGAAGTAGGCGGAGTTTGCCACGAGATTTATTGTCCGGAAGCAGTCCGGAGACCGAGAAAAAGAGGATAATGGTTGACGAAGAAAAAAGGTTGAAAGCCGTCGATGATGGAGCGGATAGAATTTAGCTGAGAATTCAGATATTCGTGGTGTATCAAGCCAAATTTGAAAATTTTCGTCGCACCATCAAAATTCGCCGCAGATCTGTGTTGTGCGCGCAATGCGTGCGGCGCCAACTGGTTCTAAATATGTGATGATAAGAACATGTTGTAATTTTGTATGCTTCGGGTAGAGGAAGTGCTCTTGCTGACGAATTCAGTCGCATTATCTTTGGTAGCTGGTGAGCACGATGGAGCAATAAGGCCAGTTTTCCATAATACGCCAGTTTGCGAGTTTCATTAAATGTGAAAAAACTAGGCTGGAATGACGGTCATATATCAGGAGGGTCTCGAATGGTTTGTGGTAATCTGGACTCGGATTCGGAGAAAGGTGGTTATCAGTGTTATCACACTAAGAGATTTTAGACACATGCATACATATATCCTTCTATTTTATAAAGCGCTAACTTTGTGTGTTGTGTTTCTGTATGTGTGTGTGTGTATGTATGTGTGTCCGTCCGCAAAATGAAGTGAGTGAGAAGGAAGCTCATGGGATAAACAAACCGCTAACAAATCGGGTAGCTTACAGGATTTGAGATATCAATGTTTTGTAGCAGGATAGTTGTGATAACACTCTTAGGGCTATATAAACACCTGCTTAGCACACTTCCGTTCATTCCACATGGTGCTGCAGTGGCAGCTGGAGGGCAGTGGAGAGAGGAAGGGAGGATGAGGAAGGGAAGCGAAAAATCTACCGTCATATCATGATTGTGTCCCTTCTACTGTATGAAACACCATTGTGTTGCATACGCGTCACTTCCAGGTGTTGGTGTCACAGGAGGAGGACCATAGCGGAGGATAGAAAGCTTGCGCAGGAAAGGAAGGTCCCGACGGTTGACGGGGGACTAATCTGGTAAAATAATTCGTTTTGCTTATGTTTCTCGGTGGGACTCCCGACGGAAAGTCGGAACCGCTAGAGGAGATAAGGCGCTTGGTGGATTAGATCGTGAATTTCAACCTTGAACCGCGTTTAGGCCTCAGAAGACGACGATTTTGTCGAAACGTTAGGCCGATTGAATAAATGTTCCACCTATCAACCTCGAACGGCAGAAGAAACAAATATATATATATATATATATATATATATATATATATATATATATATATATATATATATATATATATATATATATATATATATATATATATATATATATATATATATATATATATATATATATATATATATAGGGGGGGGCCAATAAAAAAAAGACATTTTGTCTCCACTTCCAGATGGATTTAAGCACATTTTGCTCAATTCAGACCGAATGGTCCCAACTTATTATTAAAGAGCGCATTCCATTCTATAAGAAAATCTTCATAGTGGCCACTACGTGGACGGCATCAGAAGAATTTGCCCTGGAAACATGGTGCACTGGTCGAGCTCAATGGGGTCTTCGAAGGATCGTGTACCATAACGACCCTTACTGGAAAAGTTTCGAGGGAATTTGCACAGTGGTAGCTAATGCCTCTAGAAAAACTATCCAACATTAAATCGATTCACGAAATTGCGTAAGAGCTTCAGGCTGAAGCTCTTACGGTAGACCTCCTTTGAGCCTGACGACGGTGACAGATGACGTCATATTCTGAAGACGGTGAGGGCAGTGAAGGAGGGCCTGCGTTCACTTATAGAGGGACACTTAGGGAATACTCTGCTGAGGAACTCCCGTCAACGACGGCAATCTCTGCGAAGAAAAAAGGGCCGAAGTCCGACATAGGCAAAATGTCTTTTTTTTTTTTGCCCCCCCCCTATATATAATATTTATATATATGATATATATATGTTGAGTTTTCTCTTACGATAGCGTACGCGTACGGGAGCGTTTACATTCAGGCCTGTGTCGGACTCTGGAATTCGTAGAAAGCAAGAGAAATCTTTGGGAACGCTGAAATTAAGGCCTTAACCTTCAATAAGGTCGGATGTGGTACGATGGCGAGACAGGGCGGATCAAAGAAGACAAAATACGCGAGAGAGCACGTCGTTTGAGAGAGCACGCTGATCTCTACATCAATGCACGCTGATCTCACCACCTCTCGCGGTGGGTGGGAAGCGTTGAACGGGTCGATGGTTGCAGGCCCGTAAGGATTAGCGCCCTAACCGCGCAATTTTTGCGACGAAGTTGGAGTGATCTAGGTAGGTACTTACAATTTCCCTCGCGGTATCCTTCCTACTAGTCGGGCTAATCCCGGGGTTAGCATTTAAGACTTGCCGAGCTGAAGTAAACTTTCGCAGATGTTCTGGGTACCATGCCGGGTAACCGATCCACTTGTCAACATTATTGTTCACCAATAGCAGTGGACTTCGTTGGCAGCAGCTCTCCGTGAGCGAAACATTTGCAGCCTCATGAGCTTCAAAGTTGCCTCCCAAGGTTGCTGTTCTCGAATCTTTTTTGTTCTACGCATCCGAGCCAGTCGTGCTTCCGCCTCTCCCATGTGCGAGGATTCTACTACTTGTTACTACCAACAAAGTTGGCGGATCAAGCGAGAGACAGGCGGTAAATCAAAATGTCCATGCAAAATTTTATCGTCTTAAAGCGAGGGATTACGATAAGATTGGACTGGGTTCATAGTGGAAGTGGAGATGCTGAATAATGCCCCAGTGGCGAAAAAAGCAAAGAAATCCGTCAAGAAGGCGCAAAATGGGACCCCTTTCTTTGCCCGTTGACCTCCGATAATGGACGAGCTAGCAACCAATTAGGAGGTCGTTTGCACATGTTATGCTGATAGCCTCTATCATTTCAGCAAGCATCATGCTTTGATTGATCACGCATCCCATGAAAAGTTATAGGATACACTCTGGAAGTGGAATATCTCGTCACATTGGCAATCGAAGGGCGCTGCTGCTGGGGGCGGAGCACAGACCGTGGCGGGGCTCAGAAAGGAATGGCAAGCCTTGTACGCTGCAACTAGCGCACCTTTGACCACAAAAACGCAACATTTCGTTTCCTTGGGCCCCTGACTACTGCTTCCAATGGTGCATGTACTTCCACGCTGCATACGCACTTTATCGTAATCTCTCGCTTTAACAGCCTGCGCTCAGTCAGATCACGAAATATACTTTCGCCACAATTTCGCTTCTTTTCAAGGCGATATTGAGGAGCGGCCATTGTGCTACGATAGCACTGAAAAAGCTCCGCCAGTTATGGTGCGTTGCACCAAGGACTCCCTCCAATCGACTTCAGAATACACTCGTCACTGAGCGTAGCAGGCCGACCGGATTATCTCGAGTATCTGGACTTCGGCGACCGAATAATTGGTTGGTATGGAAAATAATCTAGAGGTTTATCACAACACATAGGCCTCCTGCGTCGCTTCAATCGACGCACTTGTGGGCTTATAAAGGCAGGAGCAGTCGAACATACCTTCAGTAAACGATTTTTAAGCTTCAAACGCTGCGAAATGCTACGACAGAAATGCTGTGGAGAGAGCATTAACCACCGCTCACATGCGTTTCACAGTGAATGTTTCAAAACGATCCCAAAAGATTTTGCAAGGTGAAGAAGAAAATGCGCAAAGACTTCCGACAACCTAGTATATCATATTGATCTGGCGCTGGACGAGATTTCGCTATAGGCGGCTTCGTTAACGTGTATACCAAGCTCTACCGCTCTACTGCAGCGATTGGAGACAAATGGTAGGCAGGAGTAGCCAACTGGAGGAGGAAGAGACGGAAAGGCGTGACGCAAGGTGGGTAAAGCACTGTGAAGTCGCGGCTTCCAGCTTGCTATGCACCACTTATGGTGGGCCGCGGTGTTCATGCTTAATAATAGGCACATTCACCCGTCATGAGTAACCAAACTGTTGCATCTACTGCCTTCAAATGTTGCAATATATGCAAATGGTGAGTGTGATCACTTCGTTCACGGCGGCATCTGATGGTCAGTGCTTATTTACTTCGCCAAATGACTTCAGTAACCAGTCTCTGCTCAAAGGGTGATCTTTATACCAAAAAAAACTTGAGTACCTGCGACAGGGGTGATAGTGATATATGGGACTGACCAGGAAGGTCTTTCAGGGTGTGAGCTTTTTGAAAACGGTCTTTTGCATGATATAGGGGCACATGCGGGAACCACAGAACCATGGTTAATTTTTCCTGAACGGCCCTCTGAATACCAGAAAAGGGGTCCCTAGTTCGATTCCTCGTGGTGACAAATTTTTGCATTTCGAGTTGACGTTTCCAAAATTCGCGCAAAATGGAGTTAGCATGAATAATTAGTACCATATTCATGATTAGGACCGTCAGTAACCCTTACAAATAGAACTGAAAGACCTCCCTGGTGAGCTCAGTACTCAGTGTTACAGGAGAGCGATGCTTCCAGCCTTCTTTGCCTGCGCCCAAAATCTGAGTTGTCTTGACTCACAGATGCTTCTGTTTGAATGATTAGACACTGTTTAGTGCTTCCGACTCTCCATCTCGATATGAATTCGCTGTGGCGCGGGAATTTTTTCAAGAACTTGGTAGTCCGTTCCATGTCGTCGTTGCCTTGAAAGCAGCTGATGAGGGAAACCTGCTGCGACCAAGGTAAATAATGCTATTCGAAAAAAATGCAGTCGAGTGAACTGAATAGAAATGAGTGAACGATGCAGCTAATGTTACCCTTTTCAGGTATATCGACAAGGCAATAGAAATAGAAGATTTTCTACAGTACAAGCTCAAGGTAGAACACGATGGCAAAACGTACTCGTATTCGGATTTTTGCGGAACGCAGTGTGAAACTAGCGATGCAGTGAGTTTTTGGTTTTTATTTCCAGTGCACTTCTTGCTTCAGCGCACAAGGGATTATCTTAGATCGTTTGCTACATACAACGCTAAAGCGGTACACGTAGGCGCACCCCACCTGGAATGAGGCTTCAGTCAGAAGGAGGTTAAGCGGTCGGCGAGCACAGCTGACTTCTCGACGGATTTGCCAGCAGGGGCGCTAAGGCCTTAAGTGCTCAGGAGCTCCACCCGTATTCCGCCCAGAAATTGACGTCGTGTGCCTAGTCTGCTCTCGTTTTTGTGATGTTCTTTCGTCTCCGATTCCTTTCTTCTCAGCGCCCATCATCCCTTATCTCTGCCTTTTATTCCTTTCCTTAACCGGATGTTAAGTGTCTCCGGTGGCTTGCTTTTTCTCTTTTTCTCATCACTATCGGTCCACTCCGAACATCTGCTTACATTTCGCAGCAAAATAAGCGTATCCATGTGGTCGCGGGGTACGTCTCCAAACTCTCGATGAATCATCGAGAGTTTGGAGACGTACCCCGCGCCGTACCCCCAGCCTATCAATTATCGACGATAATTGATAGGCTTTTTATAGATCTCGTCTATTTTGCGACGCCTAATCAAATTTCGTCTTTGATGGGTTGGGTTTTTAATATTAAAGCTCACACAGTGGAGTGTGACAAGAAGTTAGGTGCAGAGATACTTGCTTCGACTTGTTCCTGCTATTTATGTATGGATTACACTGCCTTGTCCATGAGGCTCCAAAAATTTCTGGTGTTTTTTGCTATTATTTCCTGGCCATGACATTGGCAGGGTCCTTCACCCACACAGAAAGGGCCACATTACATTCACATCTCGAGATGCGTGGAAAAGGCGCCCGAGGCTAACCACTTGGATCTGCTCACGGCCATCCAAGCAAACCCACCGTTGCGCTGCTTGCGCCTTGCTCCCTGATTCGTTCTTTTGCTCCCGTCGTGTCCCCTCGGCGCGCATTTGTTTAACCATCTCTTCCGGCCCTCCCTGCAGTTCCGTGAAGAGAAGCGTCATCTGGAACTTCTCCTTTCTTCCTTGAGCATTAACTATATATGTATTACCGACAGGGAAGGCGCTCATCCGGAGTTCCTACCAGTATTGGCTACCGCGTGTGTTTCTTGCATTGTGCAGTTTTGCACAAAATGTGATTTATGCGACAGTGAGCTGAGCTTGTGATTTTCATCCCATACCCAACTTTTTATTGGCGTAGAGCTCCTCTTAGAAGAGTGATCACACTGGCTTCGGAATGGAGCTGCATACAAAGCGTTATCAACTGAAAGATTCAATGAGAGCTAATAGTGAGCGGGAAGAGCATAACCCCATAGAAGATATGATATGATAAGATACGAGATGGATGCTTGGAATTAAGTGCTCTCCAAAATGAAAATCAGACGATAACGATCACGGTACATTATGGAGTTGTGCCATTGCAATCCCTTCCACGTTCGGTACGAGGGTAGTGCTGCATGCCGGAAGTGGGTTCCGGCGCATCATCACGACATTGATGCGCAATCCTACCTCTGCGGTGTCAATTATTGCCTCTTTGGGTCTCCTTCCCAGTCCAATATGTATTAAGTTTCCCACTCGTCCCCATACTATTTATCGTGGCCACTAATTACGTTTGATCGTCGTCCCCCTTCCTTTCCACCACAATTTTTATTCGATACCTTATCTAACTTTATTGTTTCCTTGTAGGGCGAGGCAAAAGTATTCACTGATTGGAAAAATTTTGCTTCTCCGGATGTGAAAAAAGAACCGTTCAAAATTTCATGTAATAGACAAGAGTAGGACAACCCAGAGTATGCTCACCCATGGTGATCCGGTCTCAGCCAACCTGAGCACACAACCTAAAAGAGCGGAGAAGTTGTGCAGAAGAAGGGTCATCAGCCAACTTTGTTCTTGGCAAGACACATGCTTTGTTCTGCAGCGGGTGACAGCCACTGAAAATATAGCATTCCGTTGGAAAAGCACAGGCTTGCCATTTTTGCTAGGGGAGAGCCTGAGAAACCAAAATCCAGCCTCGTTTTTGAGCTGTATCATAGCGACTGTAATGCCTCACTCGACTTCATTACGAAATATTGCAGTTAGAATCAGTCAGCGGAACTCTCCAGCAGTGTAACCAAGAATGTCGTAGATCGCTAATAGTTATCTTGTTTCGCAAGCAATCCAGATGTTTTAAAGCAAGGCTTAGAATCGGAACATAAGGTGCCATCAATGGAACAATGTGCTAAAACGGCCTTCATCGAATTCATCTGCTCAGCAATTTCCCAAAATCCCCGATATAAGCCGACTCGAACTTCCGTTTGGATCATGAAGAGAGCTAAGTCTGAGGTTCTCGTCACAGTACAGCTATTTCTCCGAAAACTACTCTGTAGGAAGCACTGAACCATTTATACAAGATAAAGGCAGCGATTACGATAAAGTGGAGCGCATCGGGGAAGCATATGCACCACACGAATCAGTTACTTGGCTGCCAGGGAAGCGAGGTGTGGCGCTTTCACGACGAAAGGTGCGCTGGTTGCTGAGCAGGACTTCGAAAGCACTCCGCCCCCAAAAGCGATCCGCCCACTAGTTTAGTTGGTGATTTGGACGAGCTGCGTTGCCAGCAGCGGCACAACTGGAGCAACTCGATTGGAGCATGGTTTGGCATGTGCCACCAAACGCGTTGCGTGAACTCGTTCATACGTCCGCTTTCTGAGCTGTTACCTGTTCATGAGTGAAAACCAACGGCCAAAAAGGGGTCCCGTTTTGCGTTTTCTTGACGGATTTCTCCGCTTTTTTCGCACTGGCGTACCACTGAGCACCACCAGTCTCCTATAAACCCTTCTTGAATCATCGCAATAACTGCCTATGACCTTTGACAAACGGATGGTGTTTGTCTCACCGTCTTCGCCAGTTCACACGGATAAAAGGAGAATCGCATCGAATTTTGGGAGTATACGACCGTTCGCTTGCTGATCACGTTCACATCGAGTGAATTTCGTGTTGGCATCTTTTTCCTGCTTGATATAGCACTCTTTATCCCGCAGTCAAAACTTTTGCTGCCCCATTGCAGTGTACCACAACTCATAAAACACTTACGCGCAGGTTAAAGTAGATGTAGAAGCGTCATCGTTAATGTTTCGTGAGTCATTCGATTTCGAAGGGGTGCTTGAATGCGGATTTGAATCGTCAGTAATAAAAAAGGACTCAAGAGCAGTCCACAACCAGAGGTATGCCTGAGAAACCCCTGCTCTTAGAAATCGAAATTTCGGGAGTCGATGAGAAAACATCAGAAAATTCCGGTTTCAATGCCATTTGAGAAATGATTCTCGTCACTTGCTAAAAAGCTAGACTTGCCCAAAAAGAGTTTTAGCTAGGCTACGTTTTTTTGGCTAAATTCCGTGGTGTACGATGAGAAAGGTGAAACTTCACTTTGCTAATTTGGCAACTTTTTTCTGTTTCTTTTTTTGCCATACGCGGTCGAAGTCGCGCCTGCTGAGCGACAACGAGTAGGGGATGGACTCTTCTATCCAAAGTTGTTGCGTTGAGTACGTAGAGGATTTCGCCAGTTTTGAACTAGTTGTGAAAGAGAGGTTGATACCTCTCTTTCGCAGCTAGTTCAGTTCGAACCTTATTCTTATAGCATTACAAAGTAAAATTCAGCTTGTCGAATTCTGTAGCCTTAAGGCCGACTTCGAATTCATTCAATAGGCACACACAAATTTTCGCACTTGAACCAGGCTTGTAAATTTGCTGGAAATAGCATGCGATAGACCAAAAAATTTAGCTTCAATGTTCAAAAAACCTCAATTAAGTTTTTCATGCCTCCTTCCGCGCTGTGGTCACAGCCATTTGGTTCACTATGGTATTGAGTTGTCCCATTTCTGGCCGAATTTCAACACTTTGATTTCTTCAAGTTTTATCTTTCCCAAAAAAATTGATCAAAAATATAACCACCATCATAATCACTGATATGCATCCATTTGCTAGGGAACGAATGGATGCATTCCTCCCAGAACGAGAGAAGCTGTGAGATGAAAAGCTCGAAGAGGTCGTTTTTGGGGTGGTTGTATTTACTGACTTTTTTTTCTCTCCTAGCTGCTTCAGGGCTGAGGAGGTGATAGTACGATGGAGCAATGCAGGGCTATAGATGTGGTGTCGTGGTCCAGCCAGTTTCCCTCGAAACGTGGCGAGTTATCTTTGCAATGTGATTTCGGGCGGTCCTTCGGAAAAGGAGATTTTGAGACGTTTCGAACCGTTCTCCCGCACTGCTGCGCCAACTTCGGGAGCTATTCCTTTCGCAATGCTTGTTGTGGTTCCTTCGCAATGCTTGTCTGCATAAGAGTGAAATGGTTCTCAACACGGGACACTCAGCGAACCTAACGAAGCTGGGGAGTCGGGAATGTGGGTTCAGGCTGCGAGGTAGTCATCATTCATGCCACGTGTTGTTATCGTGGCAGATTCGTGACATATCTGCAGTGCTGAACAACTAGAGCATGTCTTGTCTATACGGTCGCAGAATGTTACAGGTTCAGTGGTAGAGATTTATTGACTCCTCCAAACGATACATTGCTTGGCTTATATACGGTGACGGTCTAACCAGATGTTACAGTACTAACAGACGCAAAAAGTAACTCCAGATGCTAAGGCAAGAAGAAGTGAATGACTTTACAGATTCTGTGCTAAAAGAGAAGCCAACTATAGCTGGTTATATGAGGGAGTAGTCGTTTTTACCACGACACAAAATGTAACTCCACAGATGCTCGTGCTTCTCGGCCATGCTAAGTTGATGCTTGCTGTTTCCAACGAGACTTCATTCTGCTGCAGCCCCTTCCGTTCAGATGTCGGTTCATGGAGGGTGGGCTGTGTCCAGATGTTTGCCACAGTTTCCTGCTAAGAGCGTCCATATACACTTCCACTTTTTGCGCAATGGGTGCTCATCGAAAGTGGCTGGAGATCCATCATGAGGTAGAACGGGGCTCCTATCGTGTTTGCGGATCTAAGCCCCATGGCTGCGGCTGTCAGTTCATGTAGTAGAGCTAGCCAGGCAAACCCATACGCGCGTTCTTGTCACCGCGCTCCCTTGCCAAGGTCTGTCTGTAAATTGTCGTACACGGCAGTCACGGCTATGGGTTGGTCCGTTGATCCTGTTTGCATTTCCTAACTGATCGGCACGTGTGATCCGTTGCGCATTTCAACTTTTGAAACAATCTCGGCTGAAAGTCCTGATGTGTTCTTCAACATACCAACTTACATCATTACGAAGCCAATTGGACTGAAGAAAACTGAATTTGAACAACAAAAATCGGCCAGAAATTACGAGAGAACCCCATGGTGGCGCTTCTTTCCGCATGTAATATTAGCAGGATCGTAGAAAAGTGTCCCACACGGGAACATTCGTTTCGGTAAGCATTTTCATATTGATTTCAGGTGAGCATATTTCTTACGATGTTTCGCGACCAACAGACGAAGGGCAAAAAACATGTGAAATTGACGTATCCGTCAATGGACGTCTTTGGTCATCGTGTTTACTTGCGCAACAACACATCTTCGCTTGTTACCGTAAACAATCTGTTAAGGTGCCATCCTATTTGTCAGTCATTCCTCATGGCACCACTTCCGCACACAACAAATTCACTGCGCAACGATCTTCGAAGATCGCTCGAGGCGATTCAGAAGCGCCTAAACTTGCGATCACTTCCTATGCTATTTACAATCCAATGCAAGCCCTCTGTAAGCGACTCAGTGGCGCCGATGGGAAAAAGTAACGAGCCTGTTTTTGGCCTCTAATCTGCGTGATACTTTACACAACCCACACCTTTAGACTGCCCCCTTTGTTTTCGCTATGTCATTTTTAATTTTTCTTGACTTTTTTCGAGATTGTTTGTTACATCTTGGATCAGGCATGCCTCTCGCATGGAACTGGCCCATGGGCATACCAACGAATTTTACGCACACATTTTCGAAGAACAATTTAGCAAAATGCCTACGCTGCTCGTCACAATGTTTTGGAACTTGGGCACGCCTAAGGACCAAACGTCGCCCCGTGCTGAGCGCACGTTGTTCAAAGAGGCAGATCGTATTTTGGGGCCAACAGAGAGGGCATCATAGCGCCCCGGGCCGCAGGGTCGTCGAAGTCACGAGGCACTTCGAACGGGAATCCGCGCGGAATCACTGCAAGACCAACATGGCACTGGACACGGCTACAATGGTGACGGCTCCAAGGGAGTAGCACGAGGTGCTGCCCAATGCTCGCTTCTTGAGGCGCACCAAACTACACGATGATTGCCAAAAGAGAATTCGCTGCCTCCTGCTCTAAAGTCAGCCAAAGGTCGGAAAGTGTAACGAATCGTTCCAGCACATTCAATATCTTTTATTGCCCTCTCATGAAATATCACATATATTGCGCCTGGAAAAACCTGTGGTATTGCGCCTCACCTAATAATCCATTTTCAAAGACCATACTTTGAGCACTTCAATGTGGGAAATTCGTGTTTCAAGAGGAATGATCGGAATAAGTCATAGAGAAAAAATTTCCTGAAGGACTTCTACGACTGAGGGGAGGGGGGGTGACGACCTGGTGGGTGTGATTTTAATTTTGTTTCCACCATGAAATAATACCTCAACACGGTAAAACTCCAGTTTGGGAGGGAGGGTCACTCCCTGTACCTTACCCGTAGTACAAAAAAGCATCCTTCGAACTTCAACCCTATGGATAAGATAATAACCACCTCACGTTCCACGTGCTGTATAAAGGGCCTTTGCATGCCATACATCAAACGCACGATCCCCGCTCACACCTACGGCATTTTATGGCATGTGCTCCGTTCAGTTACACATGAGATACTACACCCTTGACGCCTACGGAAAGGCTATCACTCCTCGTTAGGACAATTTCTTTGAACCACAACGCCGTCCTGAACAGCATCGTTTTGGATAGCCTTCCACTAACCCAATGCTTTTCAGAAGTAGTTTCAAATGAATCAGTTACGTGACATGATTCTAAACTCTAAACGTAGCATTGGAGAGCACCATGGAGTGCCCCCCTCATCCGAGCTGGAGTTTCACCTCTCGACACTGATTCGCACCTTAGTCTTATTAGCGGTTGAACTACCACTCCAATCCCTGTGCCCTCCATCTGCCACTGCAGCACGTAATTACCGAGAGTGTGCTCAATCGGTGTTTATTATCCGTTTTGAGTGTGTCATAATTATGATTCGATTACCTATTATCCAACAGGATGTGCGTGATGTAGGGCATACAAAGTCCTATCAACATTGGAATGAAGTCTTTTTATTATACCAGATTAGTCCCCCGTCAACCGCCGGGACCTTCCTTTCCTGCGCAAGCTTTCTATCCTCCGCTATGGTCCCTTCCTCCTGTGACACCAACACCTCCTGGAAGTGACGCGTATGCAACACAATGGTGTTTCATACAGTAGAAGGGACACAATCATGATATGACGGTAGATTTTTCGCTTCCCTTCCTCATCCTCCTTGCCCTCCAGCTGCCACTGCAGCACCATGTGGAATGAACGGAAGTGTGCTAAGCAGGTGTTTATATAGCCCTAAGAGTGTTATCACAACTATCCTGCTACAAAACATTGATATCTCAAATCCTGTAAGCTACCCGATTTGTTAGCGGTGTTTACTCCATGAGCTTCCTTATCTATCACTCACTTCATTTTGCGACGGACAGACGGACAGCGGTTTATTTCCCTCCCTCTCTTGTCCCCCTCCTCCCTGCCCTCCTCTCCGATACCATGGTAGCACTACGTACATTGAAGGACCGGGAGTGTGCTATATTGGTGTTTATGAAGCAGTTTTGCATGTTAACACCATCATGGCATCAACATCACTCAAGCGTAGACCCTCAAACTCACCCGTTCTGTTAGCGATCCGTTTACTCTATCTTTGGCGGCATGGACAGAACGGCACACACGCAGACACACCGACAAGCTTACACACCAAACTTGTGGTTTATGAATATGAAGTGGTGGATTGTCAGAACTCACACGCATAATGTTGAGCCCGTAAGCCGATATCGACAGTAAACCGTGAGGCTGAAAGCTTCAGCAATTGGTTTTGGACTTGTTTCAACTGCAGTTCGATACCGGTTCGCCGGCTCAACACGTTGCGTGGGGGTGTTGACAAGCCATACCAAATATGCCATGGTGAGGTGATCGTGAGTTGGAATGAAATGGTGCCCCGGTAGCGTAACTGGTAGCGCACTTGCCCGGAAAGCGAGAGGTGCGGGTTCTAGTCCCGCCTGGGGCGAAAGTCCTGTTGATATTTCACCCTTCTGGGAAAACAATTTAAAATTTCTGAAATATCCTCACAGCTTTGCATAAGAATGCATTCGAAGAACGTTACGATTTTTTAAAGAGGATATGCGCATTTTGGCAGTCTAGTTTTTAACAAAGGCGACTTTCAATGGTTGCGGGAAGGTTTGATAGGATTGCCAAAGTAGAGTCTTTGCGATTCAGGAATACATGCCCTGTTTTAAAAACAATTTCTGAATAAGGTAAACAGGAGTGGAAATTAATGTTGCTCCATTTCCCGTCTTCTGAGAAAGTAAGCGCGTTCCAATGCAAACCGCATGATGAAGCAGCAAGCGCCAGGAAATGGCGTCTATACGAACTACTTAAAGTAGGGGAGGAAGTGAATATACTCAAACGCTAAATAGCTCGACAACTCCTACACAAGAGCGCAGGTCACAAAAATTTCGAAACGAGCACAACGGATGGTTGATCTTGGTAAAGGGTGAACAGTGCTAATTCAGCTAGAGCAAGCGTCCCAGTTCGAATGAAGTCTATTGCCTGTTAATCAACATATTTAAGGCAGTTTTTCAATATTCCCAGTCAACGTTGAACGACCCTCTTGTTCATGTTTTCTGCACCAGCGAGGGCCTGGTTTCTGAAGAAGTCCGCAGAACTGGTGAGACTCTTGAGAAAGCTTTTCTTAGTGGCGTGTCATGCACCTATTCAGGTATTCTTGCTATACCGTATTTGGGAGTAACGTTTGTTATATTGTTGGCATTCACGATGGCGACGACACTTCGAAGGGATCCTGTGAAGAGCAATCCCCTTGAGTCATTTCTGGGTGTCATCTGCCCAATTTTGTCTCTTGTTGCTTCATTCGGCCATCTATTTTGGGTATGCATTACATTTTTGATATAGTAGATCTTTTCTTAATATGTGTTCTATTCATGCCGTTCTAGATGGGATTTGAGTTCCTCCCGATTGTCACAGTGGTGCCGTTCCTCATTCTCGCTATTGGTGTTGACGACGTATTCATATTTATCCACTGCTTTCATTTGACCAATGAAAAGTGAGTGATGTATTCGGAAGCTGTGGAAAACGAAATTACAAGAGTTTCCAATAAAAAACTGTATCCACCGTTTTCTCAAAATTATAATTCATTCAGACTTTCGGTTCGTAAGCGTATCGCAGAAACATTAGCAGATGCTGGTCCTTCGATCTCAATCACTTCACTCACCAATTTGCTCTCATTCAGCATCGGCATCTTCACATCCACGCCTGCCATTTATGTTAGTTTTGCGTTGTTTTCCTCTTCCGTAGTCTTGTTTTTCAACCGAAGGAAAGCGAACCAGCTTAGCGATGCGCTCTCTGCATACGATCTGTCTTAGGGGCACTTTGTTGTTTAAACAAATTGTCGATAGTATTAACACACGACGACCAGCGCGCGTTTCAGCTTTTTGGCCGTGTGGGACAGGGGCGGTTTTGCGAGTGCGACCGCCGCACCTCGGATCCGTGAATTTTTATTGATAACTTTTTAAAGCACCAGTGGTACAAAAGATCGTCATGTTGTACGAAAAAGCAGATTTTGGGTAATGTAATCATGTAGTGGGATGTCAAAAGCTGTTCTTTGATGTGGCGTACTCCAGCGCACACATATTTTTTCCATCCTTTAGTTTGCGCGCTATATTTCATTACCCCTTTTTAGTTGGCATGGTTCATGAGAATAGAATGAAAAGACTCGAAATGCCGAGACTGCCAATTTCGCCGCGCGTGTACTCTTGCTAAACTGGAGCCATATTTGACATACCCGGACATGTCGTTTACAATAGTGGTCATGTTTGCTCCAGAGCAAGAGAAGAATAAAAATTGTAAGAAAAATGGTGGACAGGGGAACGCGTACCGGCGGTGCTCAATGGGCACGGCTGGCGCGAAGGTGCGCAAATTGAGACGCGCAACCGCGTCTCACTGTCGTCAATGTGTGGAATGAAAGGCAAGGTAGTGCATCGGTGCAGATAAAGCCAGCAAAAAGGGATCAGTTATATATATATATATATATAGTATGACGTTGCAAAATCATAGGACACCCCCCAAAAATATGAATATCTCGGCTTCTAGAAGAAAGCCGTCTATCGCAACTGGTAGAATCAGAACCGCCTCTATAAAAACCTATACAAACAAGTAGCCAGATCATCCGAATAGTTTTCCGTATTTTTAGACAATTTTTTTCAGTTCCAGAACAGCGTACAAAGCAGTGCATGCACAAGAAGAACCCCATACTAGTAATTAAAGTGCTACACCGCTCAATAGAGAACACAGCAGAAAGGAAAATATTGGAAGCCCTTGAGATAAAACGATTAGCACCCGAAATAAACAGCAAGGAAGAGCTACGTGACATCCTTCAAATTGTCACATAGTATCATGCATTTTGACCGATGCATGGCATTCTACCCTAAAATCCCATAGATAAGAGCGGTTTAATTTACCGGTGAAAAATGAATTGGAATGAAATTGAAATTGAATGCAGTCACCCCTCTAACTTGATGGATGGATAAATAAAAATCGGAGAAGAAGTTTAGAAGAAGCTCCGCCCCTCAACTCTAATTTACCGGTAAAAAATGATTTTGAAAAAATATTTTTATTTTTATTTTATTTTTGAAAAAATATCTATTGACCGCTCTTATCTATGGGATTTTAGGGTATTTAAGGGCGCGAGCGGGGTAGGTTACCCTAATTTTTCGTTGGGTAAGGTTTGGAAGCTGTACTGAGGCGAACGCGTGTGAGTAGTTTCAATATATCTCGTATATTGTCCAGCTTGTGTGAGAAAAGCTATTTCAGGCCTGACGAAGGTGCTAAGCACCGAAATATTGCAAAAGTTTTTGGAAAGCTTTCGAAATTAAGTGTTTTAAAGCTTTTTGAAATAAATTTTGGAGCCTCTAATTGTTGTTTAACATTCAGATCTTTATGAGGCTTCGGGACAGCACCATACTAAGAATTTTTCTTTAGTTTTATAGTCGTTGCAAAATCATAGGGCACCCCTCGGAGGTCTCCTTACAGTTTTGTATTTTTCCTCCATCCCGAGCAACAATGAGGTAGGCAATGTTTTTCCGGTGTATGGTAATTCTATTAGAGTTACGGTTTGAGTTGCTCCTTTCCCTCCGCGAGTGAAAGCCAGACTTTCTTTTTATACGCGCCTGATGGCTCTACCATGAGCATCGAAGCCATTTTTAGGAGCTCAAAGAAAACCATAGCTTGGTGCTCCAAATTCTCACTACGAATAGAAATAAGAGTGCACCAGGATAATAGCAGAAGTTCTCTAAAGGATTAGCTATAAGCACGAAGATTACATCGAAGAAAATCACCATGTACGGTCAACCTGTGTCAGCTCTACGAAAGAAGGAGAATAGAAGTGAAATCCTACAGCAAAATCATTGATATGGACAACTAGCGCAGGGTCCTGCGAAGCGTGCTGCCATGCTCGTTAGGCGTTCTGATTGAAACCAGAGAAGAGAAACTTTAGGTCTGGAGACTCAGGATGAGGTTACGCATCACCAACATCTTTAGGAAACGATCACGAAAATTTTGTTGAAGGAATAAGTCGAATCCTGGCCCATATTTCTTTACAGGTGAACAGCAGTCATCTGAACCATCAAAGTTAAACTGCTCATTACCGAAGAAGCGCGGTCTGAAAGGAACAAATTACTTATTATTTTGAATGAAAAATTGCTCAACAAAGCCCAGCTTCGGCCCAGTCTTTCGTTAGATTTCTCTTCTCTGGTTTCAATCAGAACGCCTAACGAGCATGGCAGCACGCTTCGCAGGACCCTACGCTAGTTGTCCATATCAGTGATTTTGCTATAGGATTTCATTTCTATCCTCTTTCTTTCGTAGAGCTGACACAGGTTGACCGTACATGGTGATTTTGTTTGATGTAATCTTCGAGGTTATAGCTAATCCTTTTAGAGAACTTCTGCTATTTATCCTGGTGCACTCTTATTTCTATTCGTAGTGAGAATTTGGAGCACCAAGCTATGGTTTTCTTTGAGCTCCTAAAAATGGCTTCGATGCTCATGGTAGAGCCATCAGGCGCGTATAAAAAGAAAGTCTGGCTTTCACTCGCGGAGGGAAAGGGAGCAACTCAAACCGTAACTCTAATAGAATTACCATACACCGGACAAGTGCTACCATCGTTGCTGGATGGATAAAAAAATTCAACTGTAAGGAGACTTCCGAGGGGTGTCCTATGATTTTGCAACGACTACAAAACTAAAAAAAATTGTCTAAAAATACGGAAAACTATTCGGATGATCTGGCTACTTGTTTGTATAGGTTTTTTATAGAGGCGGTTCTGATTCTACCAGTTGCGATAGACGGCTTTTTCTAGAAGCCGAGATATTCATATTTTTGGGGGGTGTCCTATGATTTTGCAACGCACTGTATATACAAAATCATTAATTTTATTGTAAGTTCGTTTGATTGACGCAGTGTTTCCGAGTTTTGCAGGTTCCAATTTGTTTTAATTCATGCGTTTTATGTAACTTTATCGTCCAGACCTATTCACTGCATACGTAACGTTTCTGGTCGCTGAACTGTAATGGCCGACATTGTAGACTAAGGCTCAGAAGTCGTTTACCTTTTATGTTGAGCAGTTGAGACGATTGTTCGTAATATTCGTGTCAAATCCTGTTTTCCGAAGTTTCCATCACGAATATCCAAGGGGTGGATGCATTTTGCCCGCTGCGACTTCGTCGGCCGGATCCTCCACAACATTTTTCCATTTCTCACCCGGCCGGTTTGAAAGAGGATTCTACGATAAGAACGAAGGTCGAAGAAGAGGGAACCTACCCAGTGGAGGACAGGCGAACCTCCAAAGAGTGTGGGCCTACCGATTCGCATCGAAGAATATGTGTATCCCCATATGTGGATCCAGCATGCCCTTCCCCGCGGCGCAACGGCGCACTATTGGAGTGTAAAGAAGAAAGTAAGTGTCCGCGAAAACGCTTAGGTTAAGGGTTTTCCACCTTCGTGATTAAGGCAGTGAAAGACTTAGCACGGAGAGGAGAGTATGAGGTGGAGAGCGCAACAAATGCCAAATGACTGCCTGATAAAAAGAAATTTAAGTTGCTTGCTAGCTGCTTTGCAGAGCCCTGGCGCTTGATTGCAGGGTCTGTTTTGGGTGAAGGGAATGCACAACCTGTGATTGTTCTTTTGGGGTCTATCCTCCAGACCGAAGGGGATCGCTCACACGACATCTGCCTGAGGTTGTGCCTTCAATTTCCATTGAGCTGCCTTTTTATCGTGAAAATCACTTTGAAGAGTGCGGCATCAGTGCTCCTCTGATTGGGCTATATGAATCACTGGGCCATGGGTGCTCTGAGGTGGCAATCCCTATGTGAAGATTCATAGATTCTGTAGGATTTGCTACATTGTATTAAGCAGAGTTTTGATGACCATGGGTAGGTGTGGCATTTGTTTCTTTAGGCGTAGGTCTTTTGCGTAACAGAGAGGAGGAAACGTGACGATTGGTTTCAGCTGGGTTAAAATCCCTCATTGCGACTTTCTGCGTCTAATCTCGTGGGCAGTCTCTACGACTACATCTACAATATTCTTCTTCAGCTGTCACTGGACATTGAGGAGGTCATCGCGAGCAGCAGAGGAAGCGCTATCTTTGTGTTTAGACTGTGCCCTCCTCCTACGAAGGTTCACGAATTTTCTGGTGACCATTCGAATTGATTTGATAGATTTTGCTTGTTGTGCATGCCTTCAGCGCGGCTGAAGGCTGAGGAAATGATCGATTTAGATCGAAAGGAATGAGAAGCCGTCGTGGATTGTGCGCACTACGGCAAAAATTCTGGACGCTGTTCTTGATGCTTGGGTCGATTTTAGTCTCTCAATCTGGAGTAAATTCATAGTGGGAGGTGGGCTTTGCCATAAAACTGTTGGGAAGAAAACCAGTTATTTGTTCATATGTGTGGTTCGATTCTGAAGCCTGTGCTTAAGAAGTGTCTTGCAAGGCAGATGCTTCCACAACATCCACATACATCCAAACTCATGTGAAGACCTACGACTGTCTTGTGTAGGGATTTTGCAAGTTACTGGAAGATTCTCAATGGCCCTTTTCTGAAAGCACACTCTGCGGTCAGCTTAGAGCAGTCGTTTCGGTAGCAAAGATAGAGCTGTTCACGAAATTCTGTCGCATTCACGAGTCGAAAAAGCACGACTAGAGCGCTAGTGCTTGCCAGTGCTTGCGAATAGTGGCTTGACGACCAGTGGCCCTCCTGTCTCTCACTATGGCCGAACGTGTATCTGACTCCTCTCATACAGCGTGCTCTCTGGAAACTTCTCCCTTCTTTGCACACTTTCACTCCCGGTCATTTTACTTCCAAGCGAAATAACTGCAATCTGATCGTGGAGTGTCCTTCGAACTAGAGTGCAACTGGTGCTTGGTTTCTACCCTGTGTGATATCCTCCTTACACGGTATGTACTACATATGTAGGTTCATCATATTCTCTAGACCTTTGAACGATTGCATATAGTTCTTGTCCATAACGTTCTTCTGTAGTTTTATTCTAAATGCGAATTATTCTACACAACCAAGGATTATTTATCATTCGTGCAATCATTTACAGGAGTGATGTTGGCTTACTGGGCCGTGATGATTCATGGTGTAATGCAAATCAAAGTCGGCCTGTCCTCAGAAAAGCTCTTCCTTGACGACTCACCACTTTTGGAGCTTGTTAGAATCCAGACAAACGTAATTTTCAAAGAAGGAGGCCAGGTGATTTATTTATAATCTTTAACCTAATATATTTTTGTTTATGCTACGTTTTTGATGTGAGACTTCAAGCTGGGGTGGGTAATTGCTTGCTTAAACACGGTAGAGTACTGACCTTTAAAACATTGAATGAGCGTTCATTCTAATAAAATCTTGTTAGGAGATGAAAGAGGCGTATCATACTCCAATTGAGCAGCGAAATTCGCTGCCTTCTCTGAGCGTCGTATCAACAAGGTCAACCGTGCGTTGCGCAGAAAATTTTACGACCCCCTCCCATCTACAAGGTGTCAGTACGGCCCCCTCCCCCTTCCCTGGTTTAGCATCTGTGGACTAAAGCTTGGAGAGGAGGGGGACTCCAGGGTGGATAACCAATTTCATTGGGGTAAAAGTTCCGATGTGTGGCATCACACTGGTCTGCACCCATTGTTTGAACGAGAGAGCGGAACACCAAATTGGGGCGGTTCAAATGACCGTGTTCAAGTAGTCCGTATCGTAACGCGAATGGAAGGTGGTTCTTTAAAATCTAGGCTTCGCGCCCTTACCAGAGCACGGGGCTTGCCATGCAGCCGCGTTTTTCTCGTACAAAGAAGTGCAGTCGAGGATGATGTGGAGTTTTTTTGAAATTAAATAATTTACAACATTTCCCATAAACCGGTACCATTATATTTTTAGATATTTCTAAATTCAGGAACCTAACAAGCTTTCCCCAAACTTCCAAATCTTGTTTCCTTCTTTTTTCCATATGCCGAAAAACTAAATCTGTTGTAGTTACGGACGTCCTTATTTGAAAGGTATATCTTCGTTCATCGGCGCTCTCATAGAACCGGACACCAAAATTTTGAAAACCAAATAGTTTTCTTCCTAAAAAGTATTTGAAATGTTGTGGATGTTCAATATTTCAAAAAATCGTCCCGTTGTTCCGTTTTTGTGCACACGCGAGTTTTCGACATTCAAACATTCATAACTTTCTTCATAATCAACTTTTTGCAGATGTCTAAGGCTAGAAACTAGAAGATTAGCGCTTTCAAACAAGCACCTGAAATTTTTCCAGCGATCACTCTCTCAAAAAATAGTCCCGTTGTTCCGTTTTTGGGGGTTTGTGGTCCGATTTTTGAGAAGGCGCGAGTTTTCGACATTCAAACGTTCATAACTTTCTTCATAATCAACTTTTTGCAGATGTCTAAGGCTAATTAGAAACTAGAAGATTAGAGCTTCCGAATAAGTGCTCTTCTTTGAAGCAATCACTCTTTCAAAAAATAGTCCCGTTGTATCCAATTTCTTCCTTTTTTCAAGCCATTTTCCTGAAACGCGACCTTGCAGTCTTCAAACGCCTGTAACTTTATTCAAATTTCATATAATGAGAAGCGGTAAAAACTGTTAGAGTTTACGTGAAGAGTGCTTCTGAAATTTATGCAAAATTTTCCTGAAAAGCTTTCTTCTGCCAGAATTTCTAGGAGGTCCCTAGAAGTCAATTCAGCAAGTTCGCTACACTTTCTTCCGCTTAGATTTGTTTGAAAGCATCGAAATTCTCTTCAGGAAGTTTGTCTGCTTACGGCCGCTGACAGATAAGGCGTTTTTAGGAAAACGCCTGCTCGGGTATACGCCGTGCACCTGTCTGTGGTTAGCAGTCGCACTAGCATTTGAAAGGTCCTTCATTTCCATCTAGACAGTGGTAATAACGCGATTTTAGCTGTGATGTACTGTTCCATGGTGATCCCGTTTCACTGACTTCACTTGTATAGTAGGATTATATTAGTTTTTTTATCGCGTTTCCTCACAAAGTAACTCTCCTACTGCGTTGCACATCCACTCCACTCCTCATCATCTGTGGATCCCCATGCATCACAGCACTGGTTCCCGCGTTTAAGACCCCTTCCC